TAGCATCCAGATATTTTACACAACTGAATCCTTCAACATTCACATGGCGACGGGCTTAGCATAGTCTCGATTAACGATGGCGAGCAGACTGAGAATCAACTGCACAAAGACAGGCATCTGACCATCAATCTCAAAAAAGAATTTCTGAATACAGAACTAGTTCACCGCTAACGAACCACGCTAAACTGGATGCGAACCGAACAAAGTGTCCACAAATATCTATACAGTGCTGACAAAATCCCAGATTTCGATGAGATTGCGGTCATAAAGAGCATGCAACATATTATTTCTCAATGTTTACTTCAGATGCTGGATGGCAGTAAAACTGATATTCAGGACATTTCTCAAGGGGCCAACAGCTAAATCAGAAGTACTGATATTTTGACCTAACATTGCTAGTCACCTCCATCCATATGTAAAAAGCAGAACAGGCACTACAAAAGAATCCGACTGCTCTGAAGTTCAAGTCTTTGAGACCATTGCGGAATCAGCATTAGACGTTGCATTAGCACCACATTCCAACTTATATAGCCTAGTGCAATGAAAGATCTGACTAGTGATCCATTTGAGTTAGCAGTCCATATAGAAAGGCCGGTGCACAACATACTTAGAACAACAACAGAAAGTTTGACAGTTCACTAGGAAAATTTAATCACTGGACAAGGGTAACAAACAAAACGCAGTGAGCCCTGCCATCTGATGATGATACCAGTGCTCAGTTTTGCAGGATACTGGACTTTTAATTAAATAATGCCTATTGCCGATTCGACGGATTATTGGGAAACGTTTAGTTTTCACCACGGTTGATAAAAGAAAGCTGAGCGGAGGCACAGCGCTTTAAAAAAGTGAGAGGCAGACAACTTTTGGGCTCAAAGTAAAGACGAAATTAACTGAATCGATTTCGTGATTTTGTCAAAGCGTCTAAACAGGAATAAGCCAAAAAACCTTCGAAATGAACTGAAGTATTTGTGCAATTATAAACAGAGAAGAGAGGGAACCCAACCATCTCGAAGGTCTTAAATAGCCTCGTTTCAAGATCTGAAGGCCCTGAATTGCAAGCTGCTTTGATTCCCCTTCTACATCAGATATGCCAAGCACAGTTACTGCATCTCAGGGCTGCAAGCCTATAACTTCATGGCGATACCAGGTGACTTAAATTTGTGCAAGATTAAACTATATATAACTAAACGACCTGGCATCGTAGATTGTACATTCGACAATCATTCATCAATAATAACATTCATTAACGTGTGTTACTAGGGGAAGTTTCCAGGTCTCTGCACTGGTTTTAAATTAAAGTTTATTAAATTCAAAGAGAGCTTCCGCTTATTTTTTACTAAGTTCAACAGCCGCGTGCCTCATGGAACTCGATTACATCATACAGTTAAGCGATTCCAGTGATAAACTACGAATACTATCAGAAGCGGTTCAAACCACTTCTACCCAAATCTCGATCCTATTTACGGCTTAGGAACGACGACACGAAGCATATTCAAATCAGTTGAGCATTTGGATATTTACATGAACAAGTTAACGGATACAGCAGAAAGTAAAGCAAAAAATATCTTAAGCATTGAGACAATTTTGGAACACAAAGCGCTTGATAATAAAAGCAACACAAAACAAAATCACTTCAGGTAAGCAAAGAAACAAGGCACAAAATTATATTTGAAAGTTAAATGACAGTTCAATTATCTAAAATTTGCATTCAACATTAAGCTAACATCACCATAATCTGAAGGAAAAGTTTATTATTTCATGTCACAGAGTACTTAGACAAAGTCAATTATTCATTGAACACATATTCTTGTCTACACATAGGGCATCGCTGTCGCGGAGTAGTTCGATTTAACCATTTTACGATACAATGCATATGGAAACAATGGGTGCATCTACCGAATACAATAGGGCAATCGTCGCCGGGATATTTACAATCCAAACAGCAACATTCAAACGGCATCTGACATATACTACAGGGGCTATCATTAGTTACCCACTTCCAAGAAGCTACTGCTTTCCATTCCAAAATCTTTACAGTCAAATTAGAAGAGTTTATGTTCATACATTCCGTTTCCATGTTATTCATTCCTCTGGGCTGCTTTGGAGTTGTTGCGATCAAGTCCGGCGTACTGTTGCTTCTGTTTCTATAAATATTAAGATATAAAAGTTACAATATTCAAAACAAAAAATATTTTAAAACAATATAATATACCGGAGTTAAACAAGAAGAAGGTAAACTTGACAGATATCTGAACAGGACCCACCGTCGCCGTTATAGAATAATGTGGCTTTTCTGTTTAAACCTTGATTTCACTTAGGCAGGTCGTTTTTGGGAATAACTCGATTCAGAACGCAACAGACTCGGTGACTCAAGCTGTCACCTGTAGA